CAGATCAACTCGCGTCATGAGAGACGCCGCAGTGTCAGGCTACGCATAGTTTCTACAATCTATTAACGTACACTGAAATCGCGCAGTAACACCGGATATTTCGCCTTCACCGAAATACGACCGCTGCAGCTTGGTGCGGTGTCCGACCCGCGGATGGCGGGATGGAATCCCACGCTTCAGTGACCGCATTTCTGATGGCGTCGAAAATGTTTGAGGTCAGTGTGCTTAGATTTAGCTGCACGTTAAAGAAGCCTTGGTGGTCGAAATTGCTGGAGCCTTTCACTATAGCGTCTCTCATAATCATATGGTGGTTTAGGGACGGTAAACTCCAACAACAACAAATCAACATGGTACGGGTGCCGATAAGGTCAGCAGCCGAACACCACAGCGGCAAACGAGCCACCACACCGGCAAAGCAGCCGTTTGTGACGTCAAAAAACTCGGCATCAGACTTACTATTGGTAACCAGTGGGCTAGGCATTAATGAACGCGATATACTTCAACGATTAGTTGAGGCCGGCTTCATTCAAGTAGCACATTGATTCATTTTTTGTGGTGTTTGGTGTGTTCCGTCTTGTGAATCAAATAAATAAACGAATAAAAAATAAATAACTAGCAAAAATGAGTCGAATACCTTGATTACCCTTACGTGCATAACTCACAGATTAAACGAGAATGTCTAGGGTGAAGTTAAGCCCACACTTTCAAGTGAGACAGCTTGGGCTAGTTGGTATGACATGACGATAGTTATAGCGCGAGACCAGAACGACAATAAAGAGACAAGAAGGACACGCTCGTGTCCTTCGTGTCCTTCTTGTCTCTTTTTCGTCGTTCTGTTCCCGCGCTATAACTATCGTCATTCCATGCTTTTGTTTCGACCATCTTCATTTTGGGTCATATCGGCGTAATTTCGTCTCGAGCATCTTCATAGATAAAAGTTCAGCATTGCCTTTAGAAACCAGAATCGTCGCGACATGACGCAATTATTTTGATCTATTGCCCACGCCAATGGTTATTCTGAAAAAAAAATCAATGTCTTGTCTGAAACAGGGAGTACTGTACAAGAAAACAACTAAGTGACCTCCTTAACACCTGTGTTTGAGTTTGTTTATTCATTTTACTATTGACACTTTTATTATGCTAACTGACACAAGGCCTTTAACATACCATGATACAGAACAAAAGCTAACAGAATGAACTCAACGAACCTGGAAGAGGGGAGAAAGCCATAACATGACCTTTAAGATCAAATATTCGGCAAGGTAATGGAGAGCATTCGAGGTACCAGGGATTGAGTGAAATAATGTAGCAACGGGCATGTATTGTTGGTCGGAGAGAACAATGAAATCACATTTTTTTTTCTTTAGAACAAAGTCGAAGTTTATCATTTTTCAACAAAATTTTGTTGTGTTATACGCACATACCATAGCGTGACAATCACATTTAACTCATCTGTTGATCGGGATCGTATGTTCGGGATGTAGGGGGAGGGGGTTATAGAACAGCCGTGAGAGGCCCCCTGCGGTAGTGGCTACAGTACTCGGCTGCTGACCCGCAGGTCTCGGGATCGAATCGCGGCTGCGTCGGCTGCGTTTTCGATGGAGGCGAAAATGCTGTATGCCCAAGCACTCATATTTGGAGGCACGTAAAAAAAAAACCTCAGGTGGTAGAAATTTCCGGAGCTCCCCACTACGGTGCCTCTTATATTTATATGGTGGTTTTGGGATGTTCAACCCCACAAATCAATCAATTGGGATGTTAAACTCCACACTAGCTGCGGATCAAGAGCCTTGAGAGTTTGGCTGCGGCGATTCTTTGTTACATTTCGCCACTTTTTCGTAACAGCCTCAATCACGAAAAGACGTAGGTGTGTGCTTCGCTCTTTGTACATTTCAGCCTATTCACAGAACTACTACGTCTGCAGGAGACGCTCTACAAGCCTTTTTAAATGCGAAGCATTTCTTAGCGAACTTCGGAGAGTTTGACCATATCTATCTATCTATCTATCTATCTATCTATCTATCTATCTATCTAGCTATCTATCTATCTATCTATCTATCTATCTATATCTATCTATCTATCTATCTATCTATCTATCTATCTATCTATCTATCTATAGCTATCTATCTAGTCTATCTATCTTCTATCTATCTATCTATCTATCTATCTATCTATCTATCTATCTATCTCATCTATCTATCTATCCCACCTACACTTTTAGCTCTTCTGCCTGTTTCAATAAAGGTATCTATTGATTGACTGATTTTCGGGGTTTAACGTCCCAAAACCACCATATGAGTATGAGAGATGCCATAGTGGAAGGCTCCGGAAATTTGGACCACCTGGGGTTCTTTAACATGCACCCAAATCTGAGCACACCGAGCCTACAACATTTCCGCCTCCACGGAAATGCAGCCGGCCGCCGAGCCGGGATTTGATCCCGCGACCTGCTGGTCAGCAGCTGAGTACCTTAGCCACTAGAGCACCGCGGCGGGGCAATAAAGGTATTTATACCAAAGTAGCTATGTCATATCATGAGTGTATGAGGAGCATAGCGGACTAGTCAAAACATGAAAATCATGACATGTAGTTATGATAGTCATGACTTACATTTCATGGTCTTGCTGCTCTTGCAGTGGTTTAGTTCACATGAAATATTGAAAAACTGGTGTGACACGACTGCATGGCGAACATAAGTGACAGACCCTAACGTGGAAGTCATGGCATGCATGTCATATAAGTCATGACTACACGCCACGCTCATGGTGCACTCGTGGTGGTTTCGCTAGCTTAATTCACATATACCAAATTTGGTATTACGGAACGTGAATGGATGACGAAGGTATGTGACTGGTGCGAACATGACAATCATGAGAAGCGTGTCATGTGAGAACATGACTACATGCCACAATTATGATGTGCTCACGGCTGTTTCGCTAGCTTCACATATACCAAATTTGGGAATACGGGGCGAAACGGACGACCAAGGTAAATGACATGTCCAAACATGATAACTATGACATGCGTGTCATGTAAAATACACCACATGCTACGCTCATAATACGAAATTTGGGTTTACGTAGCGTGAATAAATTACCCAGGTATATGGCGGGTGCAAACATGATAATCATGATTTGCGTGTCATTACATGACAACATACCACGCTTATGATGCGCTTTCAGTCGTTTTTTACCCTGAGCTAAATATTTCTAAAGATCATCTGTGATGGCACACTTTTAGCTAATGAATGCAAGGAGCGTATATAACTTGCGCGAGAAACTGATACTGAACTGGCTAGTCAAGCAAAATGCTAATAAATGAAATCATTAGTTAACTTACAGCGTAATTATTATACACAAGTTTATGCTCCCTATTTCGCGGTCAGTATCACGTGGAAAAGGGTAGGGGGGTCAAACAGAATGCGTAGTCATGAATATTCTTTGAAAGTTCAGTCAAACGGTCATTGGCGCGTGCATTGTGTCGTCTGTAAATGTGAGCCATTGAAATGAGAGGACAAGATTCTTGGTATAAGTCCCGCTACGCTGGCTCTAAAGTTGCAAGAAATTTTAGACATCAAGACAGAAGGTACCAACTGCATTCTCGATACGTTGGTATATCCCTTCGGGAGAGAGATGCAGATATTCTCTATGGCGAAACGATATGTTGTATACCCCCATTGAACGCATGCGTGAAGTGTGGCACAAGCTTTCTACCCCCCTCAGTGGATGAAATACTCGAGGTTTGCTGCTCGATGCTTTAGCTTCCGTAACATGTTTGTAAACATAGCTCTTGTAGTTGCTCTTGGTGTACTGCGCAAAAGAAAACACAGTTTTCGAAGAAGAAATGAAAAAAAAAAGAGAGAGAAGCCCAGTATTCTATGCGGTATATATCAGGATAATTAATCACCTACTTGCTCAAACGTCTGCTTTCATTCCCAATTGCGCCATTGTACGATCAGTATATTTACAAGATGACCGCACATCTCTTTTTTCGTCATTCTGGTAAGTGACTAATGATTAGTACATACATGTCCCAACCTCGTTTTTTCCCCTTCTAGTTCACTCGTTTTATGAGCAATTAAATTCTCAACAGCTACCGCGCTTTAGCGCTAGCAGTTCAGCAGCCGCACGTGTCGCCTTCTAAATTTCTCTAATTGGTGATCGCGATGATGACGCGGATGTTTGAATTGCTACGCTGCAGACTCATCAATATGATTAGTTTGTCACTCAATCAATCTCAATATTCAACCAGCATTCTTGTTATTGCTTTGATCTTTCACGATTATTGCTCTATTATTGTGCTTGAATACGCCGTATATGTGGTATCAAATGCTCCGAAATAAAGCGATATTTTTTTTTTCTTTTTTGATGCCCACAGGCATATAACTTGTAATTTTTTATGGCGTTTCAATTCTTTCTTTCCTTTTTTCTTTCTTTGTTTACTCTTTCTTTATTTCTTGAACACTGTTCTTCTATAAGTAGAAAACTAGGTAAAACGGAAAAGGAAGTATCTAGGAAGTTATAGCTAGTCTTATCCGACGGAAAGGTAAAAAAACGTGTCAGGACGGCTCTTCCTCTCGGTTTCCTTCGTAGGTAATACGATATTCGCTTTAGTAGTTACTATCTTGTTTTTTTTTTCTCTTTCACGTATGTCTCGGCGATTACGCTTTCAATACAGCCGTGCTGTGAATGTAAATTTGTGCGTTGCTTCGAATAAAGCTCAATTGGGAGTTTACGCGCGTGTTTCTTTGTATCTCTTTCGTTCCCATTTTGCAGTGTCACGCACTGCTTTTACAATCCGTGACCAACTAGGTCCATTCGAGATACCATTCGAGATAAAAGAGATGCGAAAGTAGAGGAAGTTCAACTGAAACACTGATATCCATTTCACTGCCCTGCATTGCAGTGGTAGAGAGAATGAGAGGAAGTAAGGTAAGGAAAGAACAGCTGACGTGGAAGTGCAGCAGCTTGAAAATTCTATAGATAAGGAATTGAACTCACGAGTTTATGGCGGGGTAAATCTCGGCGAGAAGGTTGTACGTCTGGTAGGGTAGCCAGCACAGGGCGAAAGTGACGACCACGATAACCATCATCTTTATCACCTGCGGACGGAGGAATGAGTTATGTTGAGTTGTGAAGACTGAGAAGACGGATAAGGAAAGGAGGTAAAGGAAAAGAGGATCACTCAGCGTGGAAGCATAACGGTAAAATGAAACATGAGAAAGGAGAAAAAAACGCTTCTAACGCCGCATTTGCCACCAACGCGCAATAGTTTGCAGCCGCCGTTAGACAGCCCCTTGCGCGCGTGTGGACTAGGCGTGACGAAATTATAGGTACTTTAGAAGAAGAGAGGAAATAACAATGCACGTATACAGACCACGTGATGTATGGTAAAAAGAACAGGAAGACACAATCAATTCACTCATGCGAGGCGCCCCGTAAACGATTCGTTCTTTCTCTGTATAAGCGTATAGACGTTGCCCCTTTGGTCGACGGTCGCGTAAGAAACGCGTAATGTGCGAGTGCCATTTGCGGCTTTTTTTCTCCCCTTTCACGCCACATTTGCGCGGTGTTGGACGCGGCGCCTATTTGCGGCGCTTTTGTCGGCCGCCGGCACCCCCCCCCCCTTTCTCCCTCGCTCGGAAGCACGCCCCCGATTGAACACAGGGCAAGTGGACGTGAGGAGGTAGGAAAAAGTATTGAAAACAAAGAGAATGACCGACAGTCGGACAGGCAGTTCGGCAAATGATAGGATGCCTCCTTATCAGTGGTCAATCGGCGACACGAAAAACGTTTCACATCGCATCTCGCAAACGAACTTCCGCACCATTGTTTTAGGCAAACACATCTGAGAGCTGATAGTGGTGTTTGTCTTTCGGTCTGGCTGAACATTCGCGGAAGGTAGTTTCGCACTGCAGCACAGACGGCAGTATAGCCCACGCAAAAGGGCCAAAGCTCGACGGTTAGGGGCGGGCTTTCAAGCATTTCCGACACGGAATACCGTTGGTGGTCACTCTCATTCGGCATCGGAATACAATGTATCGCACTTGCCCCAACAGCAGCCTCCGTTGTCGTATTGATGATGATGTGTATGAACTCCCCGCTCAAATTACAGTTGAAAAATAAGTCATAGTAAAAGTTCTTTTGGACCCTAAAAGTGACAAAAAAACGAAAGAAGAAATGATAAGGTGTTGTCTGACTATTCGAAACAGTTGGGATTAAAGCAATCATCGAATCAGAGCCCTGATATGATGGCAAGTACTATCTATCTATCTATCTATCTATCTATCTATCTATCTATCTATCTATCTATCTATCTATCTATCTATCTATCTATCTATCTATCTATCTATCTATCTATCTATCTATCTATCTATCTATCTATCTATCTATCTATCTATCTATCTATCTGCGCCTGTGTGCTCTCGAGGCCGTCTTTTTTACTTTACGCACACAAAAACTGAGCGCTCAAACGAAGACGACATCTGCGTTCCACCGCTCATAAGGCTAATCTTTCCTCCGCGTGAGGGAAAATTGCCACAGCTGGCACCATGCCGAGGGAGCGGACACCAGTCGCTGGACCACACGAGTATGAAACATTAATTGTTTTCGCCATAAAAACCAAAGCAACAATCGTGTTCGCGTGGAAGTATTTGCAGGGACCACAAACTGCTACCCCCAGCCCAATTTCATATGTAAAAGAGCTAACCACTCTGGCGTGCAGGCTCGTCAAAACCGTCAATAGAAAGATAGTGCCCTGATTATTATTATTATTAATAATATTAGTATTGTTGTTGGTATTAAGCTTAATATGTTCATCAATAAGTATACTTACTCCAGGCCATAGAGGAGTGCACAATGCCTGCCCACTCTTTCGGGACGAAAGAAGAGCTGACGAAGAGTAAGTGAGAATACTAAAAAAAGCATCGCCCCATGGTACCAAAAAGCCTGAAGGAAGGGCGGAGCTGCAGCCTTCCTTGTTTCTTTTCATTTCTCCTTTTTCCTTTCTTTCTTTTTTCTTTTCTTTCTTTCTTTCTTTCTTTCTTTCTTTCTTTTCTCTTTCTTTCTTTGTTTCTTTCTTTCTTTATTTTCGTTCTCCTTCGCAATTTGTGCCTTTTTGCGATAGAAATTGATTGTATGGACACTATCGGCTGGATTTTGCCATCGGCGTTGACGTGAGCGTCGCCGTCACTCACCGTATAAGCTGTATTCACGTGACGTCAGCTTGGAGGGCGCGACAGCGAAAAGTGAGCCAACTGTGCTGGCAACGCGTGGCCACCATTTTGAAGGCCGCCATACCGGCGGCATAGAGGCAGTTGAGTCCGGCGGTTCCATCAGGTGCACACAAGTTACTGTGGGCTCGTTGTTGTTGTTTTATTTTTATTTGTATTTAGAAGGTACGAGATTTACCATTTGTGAAGCCGCTGCAGCCATACGCGATGCGTGGTCGGCTCCTTGAGAGTGTACGTCGAAAAAGCGGACGCCGATGCTAAACAGCGATACACGGACACAGTGGCTCTCTGCAGTGTGCGTTGACCCACTCATTCTGACGAGCGAGGAGGCCGAATTAGACACCAGACTTGTTTCGAAGATGGAACTCTGAAGCATAAAATACTGCTTGGTGCATATACGACAAGTTTTGTGACGCACGAACGACTCAAAGTCACGAAATCGTTGGATGCTTGACTAGTACGTGGGTTTGTCTATTAACCTTCGCGGAAAAGTCACGGTGACTTCGTCGCTGTGGGCGCAAATGTAAGATAATCGGAAGCTATATTTTATCTCTAAGCGCTAAAGTAGAGTTTACTCATGAATGTGATACTAATACGATGTTTTACGAATCTAATTGAAGCGGCGGGCTTAATACTATTCCATTGGACAGATTAGACTGTGGTAAAGTGCACATGAGACTGAAAGTTTGACGTGGTTGGATCACCCACAATTCTGACCAATCCAATGAAAAGTATCAGGAGCATTAAATTATTCAGTAGACCAAGTTTACAAGCTACCTGTGTGTTGGTGCAAGTGAACTGAGGCAGGTCACTTTAACGAGAAAAACTAAAGTGTGTGCCTCTCATATAAGCTCGCAGGGCACCGCGCATACGTTATTATGAACAGCCCAACGTTGAAAACCTCGCTGTGTTGTGATTTTCGCAGACGTCTATGCCAGAGCATTGAAACTTACTTCCTTTACTGTGTTAAAGTGATTTCTTTATTTTCGTGTTTCATTCGCATCTCAATTACCCAGAGCTTCCAGAATCTGAACTAGACTGAGTTTTCATTCGCAGGTGAATCACTCTCAAGTACTCACCCCACAGTCTTGTTCACATCAGTCTGGCAAAGAAAGGTGAAATACTCGCCACGACGCTTCGCCGCAACCTCCAGTGTACGGCTACATTGACCGCGAATAACGTTCGGCAAGGAATAAAATTAAACCGGTTTTGCGTTCTCAGGCTCGTCAACCTTCCGTTTTCTGCAATGGCTGCACACATATACGGCACTGTCAAACATGATAACGGATGGTGGGAGCAAAAAAACGGCTCACTTCATTATCACGCAGAAGCACACACATGTGCACATGAATGACCCTGGTCATGGCTGATGGAAATAGTGCCATCTCCGCATTTCCCGAATGCTGTGCGTATAGCCGAAGCGTAAGCTGCGAGAGCACGGGGTTGTTCGGAGGTGAATACCACGTATATTTATACGTATCTCTGCACTCTAAAAAAAAAAAAGGGGGAGCGAGAATAGAGAAACGGGCTCCGTTCCTCCTTCGGCGCAGCGACTTTCTCCCTTTCGGGCGCTTTACCCGTCACGCCCTCTCGCGGCAAGGATAAAAGGAGCAACTTTTCTCCTTCAACGTTCAAGTTCTCCTCAATCACGGGGGTCTTGCATGCGCGCGCGCATGCGCACGCCAAGCCTAGCAGGCCGCGGCCAGTCGCGAGCGATTGCTTTTATCTAAGATTGTTGTAAGCAATGCAGGAGTGACGTTTTCTTTTGTTTTATTGGTGTAGAGTAAAACCCTCCCTTTTTTTATTGTCAGGCAGTCACACGATGCTCCGCACACTTCCATGTGTGTCTCGTGTTGTTTCATACTACCAATTTGTCACGAATACAAGGAGCTCTGTTTCCAAAGCAGTCTTGCTTTATCGATTACCTTAGAGTGTACAAAAATAATGAATTTTTTTCGGTGTTGACGTACTTGGTAAGCCCACGCATTTTTAGTTTCGCACGGCACCAACAGCACTCATGCATTCAACGAGGCACGTAAAAAAGCATCACACTTAATTTTTCAACATTCTAGAAAACCTGATACCACTCTACAGTCCATGCATGAAAGCATGATCATATACAATTGATAGAGTTATACGTGTCACTACCGCCATATGGATGTTATTTGCAGTTTACCCCCATTCGAATACGGCCGCCGTGGCCAGAAGCCAAACCTGCGTCCTCCAGCATAGTCACACGACGCCCAATAAGACTATGCTACCACGGCAGGTGAAACAAGAAAGGGAAACAGGCTGCGAAGTTTCACTGAGCGTTTATTCGCCAGACTAGGTTACAACCATCGGAAACGTTTTAAACATCATCATAACTAACCTTTTGTGAAAAGTGAACCATTGACTTCTGTGGGTTAAACCAAATTCTCAATCGCATTCGTTTTAATCGCCCATGCCAGCACTGAAAAGTAGGAAGGAATTATGCACGCGTACAGTATGCCTTTCTCGTCCATGATTCTCCTCTATCGTGAGAAACTCAACACAAAATGCACTTCTAGTAACAGCTGTGCGCAGTAAGTAAGTACTAACGCTCACTCACCTTTTTGAAAAGAGTATTCCGAATCCAGAGTAATAACCACCACAGCCACAGCGCTAACAACAAAATTGTGGCACGCACTATGATTGCAAGTTGACACGCGAGGCGAATCGCGAAAGGCATCTGAAGCAGAAAAGTATGTAGGCACAAGATTCCATAAAGTTACAGTAAACTTGCGCACTGCAGCGATAGTTCCTCCACTCAAGTAATAGAGTTGCAGCGACGCCAACAGCCACTGTCTTAGCTCACGAAAAAATACCGTCGTATGCGAGGTTATCGCTTA